GGAGGCGCAGGAAGTGAGGCTCCTCCTGTTAGCAGCTGGGGTCAAGCGGGCTTGAACCCAGGAGCTGCCCAGCAAAAGTTTGTCTTCTCACAGCTCTCTGCCTTGTTGCAGCTCTCTGAGCCTGTGTAGCAACGAGGAACCCCAAGGGCAGCACATTCTGTGACTGTGGCACCATGTTGGCCAGGGAGAGCTGAAGCAGTAACTCCCTGTCACACCACTGTGGATGATATGTTCCTTTCCTGAGGCTCGGGGACCATGCTGGGGGCACACCAAGGCCTGGCAGGATGCAGTAAGGAGCTGGCTGAGTGTTGTGGAGTGTCATGTGTCAGCTGGGAAGAGAGGGAGTGAGGACCATATTTGCAAATCCTCCTGGTTAGATTAAGGTAAAATTAACACTCAAGTTCCAAACACAATCATTAGTTTTAATAAGAATCTCTGTGCTACAATTACATTAAAATATTGGCACTCTTACAGTTCTGTCTATGCTGTGAGGCTAAACAACATGATTTTACAAGGCATGTAAGTAAGTCATGCATTACTCAGCAACTGCAAGAGAGAAAAAGAAAGAAGAGAGAGATGGGTCTCAAACACTTCAAGATGATCTGAATAAAGCAGATAGAATGAAAGAAGACAAAGAATGAAGAAAGTGGAGAAAAAAGGAAGAAAAAAGAGTATGAGAGAGAAAGAATGAGAATAAATAAATAAATGAGAGAGTATTCTGGAAGTCACATCACTTATGACTATACTAAATCACTGCAAATAGGAAAATACCTGAAATCATAATTTCAGTATTTACAAGCCATTCTTCCCTACTCCGTGAGGCTTAAAAAGCTGAATGAGGAATCAGTCCAGGATTCAAGGAATTGATCTGAAAGCTGCATAACTTGAAATGGCTCCTTGGTCTTTCTACGATGTCTCATCTTAGCACAGGCCTCCACACTATGGCTCAAACATCTCAGAATTTATCTTGGGTCATTTTGTACATAACACGTGGAAAGTAAAGAACGAGCAAGCACTCTTTCAGAGTAGAATTTATCCTAATATCCAAACTGAACCTCCCCTGGCAGCATGGGGGTTGGCCTCTTCTCCCAGGTAACAGGAGGAGAGGGGATGGCCTCAAGTTGCACCAGCAGTGCTTCAGTTTGGATATTGAGAAGAATTTCTGTTCAGAAAGAGGGGTGCTGCGGTGGCACAGGCTGCCCAGGAAGGTGGTGCAGTCACAGTCCCTGCAGGTGTTCAAGAACCGTGTGGATGTGGCACTGAGTAATATTGTCAGTGGGCATGGTGGAGATGGGCTGATGGTTAGACTTGGTGATCTGAGAGGTGTTTTACAACCCTAATGAATCTGTGATATCCAAGGGTGGAAGCAAGGGCCTGTTCCTGTCAGTAAACCCCTTTCTATGCAAGCAGGTCTCTCTGGCTCCCCTGCAGTGCTTCACCCTGCCATCCATGCTGTTGCCTTTGGGGCTGTCCCTATCCACTTAGAAGAGTCTCATCTGCCCTGCAAACTGGTGGCAGCCCAAAGGGTCCCTTGCCAAACAAAGCACAGATCTCTGTGAACTCGAGTGGTTTTAAAGACTGTTCACACTTAACACAAGGACTGGAGAGGTCAGATGAACAAAGACACGGTGAGGATCTCTTCTAACCTCAGTGCTTAATCATTAATTTGACTATTAATTTAATCTCTCACTAAGACCTTAGACATTTGCCCCTGGTGTGGAGCCCATCAGTATGAGTAGACCAGAGTATGCCCCTGGCATTCTGAAGGAGGCTGCTGCCTGAAGGGCTCATAATGGGAGGCTCACAATGGGACATGATGGGAGGAGTATGTGGGGACTCCTTAAAACATATTATGGGATACTTTTAAGGGATTGAGAGAACACACAAGAGTTACTGTGTGATGCTTAGGGGAAGAAATCAAAGCGGGGAAAAAGAACCATCAAGATTGCTTGGAAAGGAACAAATGTGGGAAAACAGAGGAAAAAGTGGGTAATAAGGCCAGCTGAATGTAAATGTATGTTATGTTTGCCTTACTGCTGGCATCTAGACAGAGGTTTGTGTCCTTGTGTTCCTAGTGCTCTGAACAGCTGGATGAAGAACAGGACTGGGCTGCCAGAGTTGCCCACCGTTTCGCACGTGCTGTGTGTTTATGTGGGTGCCAGAAAATCTCTGCTTTCTTTATTAGTCTAAGCAGCTGTGTGCAGCACGGCACTGTGCTGATGTGTGCCTACCAGAAACACACTGTCTCCCCGCTGGAAAGTCATGCTCCAGTGCTTCCTCATACAATAAATCACAAAATGGCTTGGGTTGGAAGAGACCTCAAAGATCATCTAGATCTAACCTCCCTGCCTCCTCAGCCCTGTGGCCTCCACTGTGTTCACTAGTCAGTGCTACCCTGGGGAGCCCAGTCTGGGTGCAGGGCTCCCTCTGGTAACTGCGTTTACTGTTTGGGTGGGAAAGACCTCCCTGACACACCGGCTGCCCATGCTCTGCAAGAGTGGCCCAAGCCATAATGGGCCCCCAAAACTGCAGGGCCTCTCACTAATAGATGTCGGGATCCCTTGCTGCTCACCAGGATCCTGGAGCTGTTCTCTGCCTGTGGGCCCCATCTTGCAGCACCATCAGCCTGGAGCAGGGCTGCCATTGGCTCAAGCTCCAGGCTCTCCCAGAAGAAGTCTCCCCAGGTTCCTCCAAAGGGTTGCATCTGCTGCATCCTCTTATTCTATGACAGTGCAGTTGTGGAGACAAGTATAATTCCATTTGCATATGTTTTAAGGAAAATTCCAAAAGAAGTGCCCCGAATTCTACTGGTAGCACCACACGGGAGAGTGGCGTAGTGGCATGCCCACTGCCTGCTCCAAGGGCTGGGACACAGTTTCAGTGTTCTGCTGGCTTATGTGGAGAACGTGGCTTTCTCTACAGAGAAGAAATATGGAGGTATACTATGTAAAATACAAGTAAGAGGAATTACTTTTTTGGTCGATTGACCAAAACTGAGGAACACACTGGTCTCCATTAACTGGATGAACGCTGCTCTGACCAGTAAAGATGCTGAGTGGAAAAAGCTACTGTGTGCCAAAACTTCATTGCAGCAGAAAAGTCTGTCCTTGTGCATAGAGCACTCCTGAGGAAGCTGCAGGCTAGGGCTGATATCACACTGGAGCAGAGACCCGCTGAGAACTTGAGCCTCAGAGACCAGAACACTCAGGACAGCAGAAACTGTTCATGTCCCACTGCTGCTTCACTCATTTCTCTTCATCTGAGGGCTTTGGAGAAGATCAGCATGATGATCTTAGCAATCTTGGCATAATGATTATGACAAGGGCAGCAGGAATTAGGAGGGGAGGGGAGAAGCTAACTACTGTACAACGAGAACCTGTGTGAAAACATCTGCAAGCTTAGATGAACTGACAAAACTTTGTTAAAAATAAGATCATTTTTTAGGTGATTTTTCAGTTCATCTGCCTGAGGTGAGAACCTACTCATTTCTTCCCTGCCTCAGCTTTGTATGCAGCCCAAGAGCTGGTAAAGAGTCAAAACAGAATTTAATTCACTCGAGTCGAGAGAGTCGAACACAAAGGTCAGGGAGAAGAAAACTGATGATTTTGAAGCCAAAAGCACCGTTTTTCTGGAGGTATTATCTGTACTCGTGTTAACACCTCATAGAACTGTGGTCAAAATTTCTCCTTCCTATCCTGAAGACTGAGACAACAGTTTTTCCAGGCCATTTGTTTCCTCTTGGATTATGTTATGAATATTTTTCAGTTTCAGAGAAAGGAGACAGTATGATTAATTAAGCAATCCAAAGAAATTCAGAATTAATACACAGACCAATTTAGACCCAAATGTTAGATACTGTCCCATAGATAGACTAGGAACAGCAAACAAAATTAGTAAGGAATGAAGGATACTGTGAATGTAACCAATAAATCCCCGATTGCTTTAAGAGTCTGCACCCCAGAAGCACCTTCTCCCTAACCCCTCTCATCTCATCATTAGCACCTTTGCCTTTGAGGCAAACCACCTAGATACACCTTCTATAGTAGCACTGGGAATTGCTTAGGATTTAAGTAAGTAAACAGAGGTTTTAATAATCTCCATCCTGTTGCTAGGCAACAAGTTACCAGACAATTACTGAGAGTGATGACCATGGTACAAGCGTAGGACATGCCAAACACAAACTATTTTCAATATTCCATTGTGATGGTGTGCTTCCTACCCCAGTGTCCTCCTCTGGCTTTCCCTGCAGCTGCAGTGTGATTTCCATCCATCATGTCCACAAATGAAATGAAAAACGATTTATCTAAAACACTGAATTTTCAAGCTCATAAGAGGTCACAGTGAATGATGCTCCAGACCCAGCAGATAGGTGAACAGCACAGCACAGCAAGAACTCTTGAATTTTTACTGTCATACAGTCAAAAAAAAAATTTCACTAGTGATCAGGATGGCCTATTATTAATATAGGTGCCATGTATAAATACCAGAAAATTGTTTTTTAGAGACTTGCTGAAATACAACATGAAAACCATCTAAGTGATCCTTATAAATGTGCTGTCACTGACCTAGGGCTTAAAAGCATTTTAATTTCAGATTTTCAGCGAACAGTGAATCTCTCCATGAGCTCCTCTTTTGATATACCTCTAATATATTTAAATCAAATCCTAATGGTTGCTAACATGGACAAAAACATGAGGGGAAAAATAAAAGTAAAGACTGATGATCAGTCTTTCCTTTATCCTGATGATCAGGATACCTATCAGTGTCTATCTTCCTGACAGGAGCAAGGAAAATGCGGTCAGGAGTGTGTGGTGGCTACATATGACACTAAGAGGAAGGTGATGTAGACATACCTGGTATCCCTCTGGTACCTTAGCCCACTGAGCTTTGCCCCTGCTCATGGTTTACAACTCTCCAAACTAGAAAACATGACCAAACCTTCAGTGCAGCAGCCACCAACCTGGTTTACCAATTAAATGTTAATAAAAAGAAATGCAATATTTTAGCAGTAAATGAACTCTGTAGAAGATTTATTACTTTGTCAGTCCATTACTGTTTCTCATCCAGTGCCTGAAGTACAGAAATGCAGATGGAAATCTATCACAGTTAATGACTGCACTCAAGAAGAAAATACTGCCTTTGATAAAAATGCTGTCTAGGTAACAAAACAAACAAACAAAAAAAAACAACAAAAAAGCAAAAAAGTCTCTTACCTGAGATATCTGTATGAATTATTTAATTACATGTTTGATACACAAGGAACAAAACAAAACTTATGGCTAATGAGCTCTGTTGAACAGCAACAAGACATCTTGCATATTTTTAAGATGCCATAGTCTAAGAAGCTAAAAAAGAAATCACATGTGCAAAACATTTTTTCAGTGCCTGTGATCAGCTGCTTCATACCTACATCAAGAACCACCTTTTGAAATTCAAATTGCATTTATGTGTATGCAATTATTTTAATTAAACCAAAAACATTGAACAGTTAGGCCTTTTTTCAAGTTTCTATGATCAAATCACTTCGTGTTTTGGGTTTTTTTTTGTCTACACTCACTGCCTTTACTAGTGCCTTCTTCATACATGTTTATCATATAGATAAGTGAAACAAAAATCTCTCATTGTCAGTGTCTTGGAAAAAAAGAAACCACATTCACATTTACAAATAGATACAGATTTCTGATTTAGGGTTAGCGTAACCCTTATATAAGGCTACAAGATTTGGGGGAGGGGGGGGGGGGGAGGCAGCATTTAATGAACTTTTGCTTCTTCATCTTCCAAGTCAGTGAAAAGAGCCAGACATAAAAACTGATGAAAAAAAGCCAGAAGCTCAAGAATGACTTAATATGAGACATAGTGTTCATCTTTTTACCAAAGAGAGTATCTTTCTTTAAAACTCCAGAAAGTTCATTTAAATCTAGCCTCCAAATTCATTAAAGAATTGGGAAAAAAAAAATCAGTGTTAGATATCTTTCCAAGTTACATATTAAAAATACAACTCGATATTTGGCATACAGCAAAACTGACTGTCATGTGATAATTGCAAATCAGTTATTCAGGCATCGTCATAATGACAGCTAAAGAACAGAATTATCTACGATAAGATGAAACAGTTTATTTCAATTCAGCATTTTTAAAGCAAACTGTAACACGGGACAAGCCCTTCAAGCCCTGTGTGGAACTGGCTGAAATACACAACACTGTTCTTCACACTCTGCACAACCATTTGAAACCACTGTCGTCCTTCTTCCATTCCAGAGACACACAAGGCATTGCAGTACAGAACTGTGTGCTACACACTTATTTTCAGTCTTGCACCTTCTGAGAGTGGTTCTGGTCCATGGCTGTAAAGAACAAGCAGACACCGGCTGTGATGAACACATGCACTCCCTCGTAAAGCAGCTTTGGCGAGAAGACGCTCCATATGAACAGGTGGTACCGCAGGCCTGTTACCAAAACGATGTAGATGGCAACTGGGATGGAACGCATCAGCGCGTAGCAGAAACACCCATGACCCACTGCTGCAGAATTCCTGCAAGAAAAAGCAGAGGAGCTCATTCTCGGGCAAAACACATCCTGATTCATTCACTCTTTAGCATTAGCTCACATCGCCAAGAATATTCACAAATCTCCACTTCGTGTTAGAAAACTGATTACTGGTGCAGTGATGAAACTAGGAATGCTTTTCTTTACCACCTCTATATATCCTGCTGTGTGTTAGTGATGTTTAGTGTTTGCAGTAGTTCACCTCAGATGTAGAAGTTTCTTTGTTTTAACACACTTTGTTCTAATTGTTTAAGACTCCATTAAGTAGTTTCAAGACAGCTTCATCTCTTGTTGGCCTTCCAGCGCCCTTCCACAAGGTCTGCCTGTCAAGGCAGAAAAGAAAGACTTCAGCACCCCTCCACAAAGCTGCCTACCCGTACAGTAGATGATCAGATGGAGCCAGCTCTCCTCATAAAGAGCACAAAAAGCGTCAGAGTGCACCGCTGCCCACAACCAGAAACATATAGAGCAATATAAAAATTGTGCTATCAAAAACCTTTGCAAGACCAGCTTAACCACGCTCCGGAGAATGCTGTGTTCTTAGGCTCACATGACCAATACACTATGTTCCTGTCAAAGGAGATTAGCTAGGGCCACATCATTACAAGGGATGGCCATCCCACATCAACCTACATGGGCCAAATATGCCACACTGAGCTATTCTTGTGGTTGATGGGAGTCAAGTAGAAATGGAAATGAAATGGTTTTCTGCACTTCAACTGTTCTCCCTCTTCTAAGGTGCCAACATCTTGGCAATGGTACCAGGTTGGCATGTGTCCCCTTTCTCCAAACCACATCTGCTGTGACTAACTCACAGCAAGTTCAGATGCTTACCTGTTCAGACAAAGGGAAGGAACAAAGCTTTTTCACAGGATTAATGCACACAACATTTTTCTTCCCCCAGCAAAGTATTTTACTTCATCAGTCCACAAAAGAACACATCGGCAAAAAGTGGAAATGATTTACACTGAAATTCTTGTCTGAGAATCTTTCTGCTCCTCCCAGTTTCTAATTACGATCTTGTTCCAAATAATAAAAATTTGAGATGACTAGCACTTCTGTGAGATGCAAATTAGTCACTTATAACTAAGCAAGCAACAGAATGCAGTATTTTACATGAACCACTGAACTTATTATTCCTTAAATCAAAATAATTAGGATACAGTCCTGTTTTCCAGTGAAATCAAGAGTAAAATTCCCAAGGCTTTCAGTGGAAGGAAGAACTGAACAGATCATGAAAGCAGAGCTGAAAAATGAACTCAGAACAGCAGGAGCACATGACTGCAAAGCATGCATTCATTTCACAGATAACCATTTTCCTTGGTGCTTAGCCAAAGGGACTGGGGAGTGAATATGGCTCCTTCCTTCTTCTGCAAAACTACTTTAGTCTTCAGTGAGCTTGTACAGATAACTAGCTTTATGTTTAATAAGTGACTTTGCTGACAAAGAGTAAATAAGCTGCATTTCACTCAGTCTTAGCTGTTTTCATGTTGCTATGAGTAAAAGCACTATTTAGTAGTTAGATAATACAACTAAATAAACAAAGGAAATGTTCTTCTGAGTGAGATATGCAAACAGGAAATTTTAAAATCAATTTCTTAGAATTAAAAAAAAAAAAAAAAAAAGCATTTGATCAAATTTGATCAAACCTAGATGAAGGCTATTGGTGGTTGTGGCTTTTCCATTTATTAAGTTCCACAATAGGATTTTCAATGGAACTGTAAAAGAGAGAAGTTATACATCTAGGTCTTATCAGAACCCTGCTTCTTAAATGTAATTTTCAATTCATATATTTTTCCCAATTCATGTTTACCTAATAACACTGTTAGTACTCCACTGAGAGAAAGCTCCTAATTACAAATCAATTATGACTTTGTGGCATTTTTAGTGGCTCCTTTTAAAATCATAAAGAAATTGGTTCTAAGGTTATTTTGAGTGGAATTTACTTTTTTGACTCAAAAATTAGGCAGATAAAATATTTCAGATACTCACATTTCATACCGGAACAAGAGCTCACAATAATCTTGATCATTAACATCTAAATTCTCTAATTTTGGATTATGATGACTAGCAAGCAATCCCCAAGTCAGTAAGTGAATGCTACTGTTCTTTCTCTAGTTTGATGCAGTAAAAATAATGAACCACTTACTGCTTGGATAATACATTTACTTGCAAAAGGTCTCAGCACTCAATTAATCTCTGAACAAAACACAGTCACCTACCTGCAGAGGGAAATCTCAGGATGGTTTCACAGTACAATGCAGCAGAGCTATTTAGAGAAGGCAACAGAAGCAAACTGTTTCCAAGTTAAACTGTCAGTGAGGTTCAAGAGCGAGATAATTAGGTGTATGTAGCAGCTAGCATGGCAAGTCACAGGCCCGTTGTTACACTGGAATTTCTGAGCACAAGCAGTTAGTACTACTCTGCTACCCTGATGCTAAAGCAACACCTTAGTTCTTCTTAGGACTGCACCTGGTGCTTCTGCTGGGCACCCACTTTGCTGAACATATAAGTGTCATGGCTTCATTAGCTCCTTCTCCTCTTTATACACACAGAGAGTGACAGCAGGGTATGTAGAGGGCTTAGCAAGGCTACAAGGAAATCAGTGCCCAGGAACCAGGCTGCGGCTACTAATGTGACCAAGGCAATCCAGTTATTTCAGCTGGATTCTGTTACTCCAGAAGAGCCACTAGGAGAGCAGAGAAGGATGGCTGCAGAAGGGCATGCACCTGCCCTACCATTTGGCAGCTAGATTAGCCAGTAATGAATACCCTGGTAATTCCTCTGTGCTTCCAGAGTGAAAATAAAAGCAGGAAGCAGGACGCATCTAAAGCATCAACCTGTAATCTCTCCATACTGAAATGTCTCTGCAGCAGTTAATTCCTTTTCATATTTGAAGAAGAGCAGAAAGAGAGGGATATAAATTAGATATACTAATCCCATGTTCTAATAGAACCAGTTCAATGTCTAGACATACATAGTGCAGGAGGTTTGTTGCTTTGTTGCAAGCCCAACCACTAATACAGAGCTCATTTAGCAAGCTTAATTGAAGAGGCTGACAATGCGTACCCAAATTTCATATAAGATTGATGCTCGAAACTGTTAGATCTATAAAAACAAATGCTTTCAGAGACTTAGCTCACATAACAATACAGATTGACATTATCAATCTTTCTGTATATTGACTGCAAACAGTAAATATAGTCTAGAGCATATAACGGCTTCCAACAAAATCCCTTTCTTTTAATTGAATATTTATTAAACAGAAAAAGATCGCCAAGGAATTATACTAACGTTTTTCCTGCTTCTTTGTATCTCCTAAATAATGATTGCCAATGTACTGCCAACAAATCTTTCACCTCTCAATCCCCATGTCTAACATACTATTAAAATGGGTTGTATAAGGTCTGTAAAATGAAAAAATATGGTGTCAAAATCACGAAAGAAAAAGCACCCCTCTTGGAAAAGCACGTTTCCCATTTATACAGAATATCTGGCAGATGAAACCACAAATTTTGTAGTTTTAAATAAAGCTAAAAAGCTCCACAGGCAGCCCTATGAATGCTTCCACAGGAATTCAGAACCGCATTACTCTACACTGTTTTCATATTTGACCACAAAATTAAATAGACATTTTAGGAAAATGCACACATGTCAGTGAGGAATACCACAGTGTTATCACTGTTTGAGATGGAGAATGTATGTCGGGAGGGTTCACTAAGAATACTTTCAGCAGAAGTCAAACCCCAGCCTTTCTGTCCTTCTATCTCCTGTGTTCTGGCTGCACTTCACTGCGTCGATTACCTCTCACTGGGGATACTGACTATGCATATTTGTAGGTAATATTTACTGTATTGGATTTTTTATTATACTAGTGTTATTTTCTAGTCTTCCTGCAGTTTCACATTACGAGATCTCTGCTCAGTGCTCTCTGAGAAACAGCTGGTTCTCTGTTAACCTGTCTTCTACATATTAGTTAAAGGTTTGAGCCAGAAATAAACTCCACAGCACTCCACCTGTCAATTTGAATACAGAGTATCTATAATCCGTAAGAGTTCCAAGTTCTAACCAAATACCCAGTAGTTTTGCAAGCAAGAATAAATGTGCCATGTTTCTCCCATATGCCCTACTCTCATCTAGTATGATTCTGGGCCAGGACTGAATAGCAACCCTTAGGGCAAGACACCAATTGTCCCTTAATAAAGCCTACAAATTCCTTCTAAAAATTGACCAGTCTTGAAAGATGCCCACTTCCCCAGTTCATGCCTTGCATGTGCTCATTTCCCCAAATACTGATTTTTCATAAAGGAATGGACTTCTTTTGAACTTCACTGGCTCAGACTCTACCTTCTCTTAGAGGAAAGAGAAAGCACTTCACTAGCACAAATATCCAGGTCTGTTTCAGGGTTGCAGTCAAAGAGATAGCTAACCAGTACTCTAGACATCACTGCAACACAATCCTCATTTCTACAACACAAAGAAGCCACTCCTTTCCAACAGTTATCTTTGACTCTCCAATCCCCCTTTCTCCATTTAAGCTGTGACAGCCAATGATGAATTCCATCCCTCCTTTAAGAGGGAGTCACATGAAACTGAGTGCTCTGCTTGATATGTCTTCTCTGTCACACTACTTCTGTGGTGTATGTGTATCTAGTGACTGTATGTGCCTGTTGCCATGCTTCAAGTTTTCCCATCAACCTCTACTCAGGTCAATCCTTAGGAAGTGTTAACATGTTCAGCTTCAAGAAAACCAACAAAGTTAAATCAGGCTGCTCTTGTTGTCACAGGTTCAGACTTTAAAGCAATAAGGTATAAGCAAATAATTAAAATTCCTAACAAGCAAAACAAAACTCCTGATTATTTTGAAGCTCAACATTAGTCAATTTTCTGCAAGTATCCTCCCAAAATCCACTTAGCATTTCTGAAGACTCCCAGTAGAAAAGAGCCTGAAGCATTTTACATCAGCATCACATAAGCAGGGAACAA